ATCATTGCACAAGTTAAAGACATTGCATCGGTTGATAAGATGGTCATCGGTACGGTAGAAATACTGTAGCTAATAACTATCTACAGGCATTGGGGTACCATTACGCCGCTGTGCGTTCATAGTGTTCTCTACGGTTCGGCGATTTCTGCTTCATTTCACTGCGTCGGTTGTCTTCAGAAAGATAAAATGATTTTTGGCGATATGACAAATTCATCGCCAACACTTGTGCTTACATAAGCTGCTGAAGACGGAATCTATCCATTGGATACGTGAACAACCATCGATATACATATCATTGGCGATGAATGAAAATCTGCGCATATCTCTTTGTCGATGATGTACCTGACTTCTCTTGGCCTTCGTATTTTGCTCATTCATCTGTCTGTATTGGACTTACAGCTTACAGCCCCTTCGCGATGGCGCTCGCGCCTTTCCGATGGTCATTAAAGTTTCACACAGTACCTTTTCAGTCAAGCAGGAAAATGGATGTTTTGATATTCTACCCCGAAGCGAGAGAACGCTGGAAGCAAAGCACTCCTCTGACAGAGTTGATCACGAGTTTGCCATCTTAGAAGGGAGAATTTCGGCTGCAGAAAGCACCGACTGCTCGATTGGATGCGATGAGATATATTCTGGCAGCTGTGGGGATAAGAGTCGGATGCAGTCGGCGGGTATGATAATAGGGTGGATTCTTGCCGTAACGGTGATGGGGGCGTGAAGGTGAACGGCGGCCTTATGTCCTGTGCGTCTATTAGAATGAGACAGGTTAACGCATAAAACGCACAATATACGCAAATCTGCAGAAAGACACCCACAATCCCCCAAGAATCCACTTCGACCGCGCCCAACGCCATCGAGCTCCAGGCTCCAGTAAAATGTCAGAGCTCATTCCAGTCACTACACCACTGCGAGAGTTCGAAAGTCATGAAGGACGCGTAACGGCAGTTGCAGTTTTCCCCGATAAACGATGGATGGTTACGGGATCGTACGACAAGACGCTTCGTCTGTGGGACTTGGAGACAGGTGTTGTGTTGAAGAGGATGGAGGGGCATACCATTGAGGTGGTGGGATTGGTGTTATCACGAGATGGGCAATTGATAGCAAGCGGTGATCTCAAGGGAGAGGTCATCGTCTGGTATGGAGAAACTGGCCAATCGCTCACCAAAATCAAAGCCCACTCCGATTGTATCTCCTCGCTGGAATTTTCTCCTGATGGCACAGTGCTGGCCACTAGTGCATATGACGACAGAATGACAAAACTGTGGAACACCAAATCCTGGGAGGAACAAGGAGGCCCGACAATATTAATTGACTGCGGTAGTTCTGTCAAATGCGTACGATATTCGCACTCTGGAGAACTTCTTGCCATCGCAACAGACCACAATATTCAAATTTATAATCCAGGCACGAGGGAACACGTTGCATCCTTCAAGGCTCACAAATTCAACTTCTCACTCGCATGGACGCCCGATGGCACTCGCCTTCTCACAGGTGGCAGTGGTTCTAATCCTACCATACGTGAATGGGATACAACAACCTGGCAGCAGGTCGGTGATCCTTGGACGGGCCACTCTAAGCATATCAATGTCATTGCCGTTCATCCCGCTGGCACACTCGTCGCATCCGCATCTCATGACAATGATGTCCGCCTCTGGTCGCTCTCAGACCAAAAAACCATTTCCATATTCAAGCACTCGTATAGTTCGTTCTGCATCACTTTCTCCGTGAATGGCAAGCACATCCTCAGCGGAGGTGACGATAAGATGATCTCGGAGTGGGCAGTACCTCAGGGTATTCATCCGAAGGCATGTTTCCGTCCTTAACTCATATACCACAATTCGAGCATGTTTCGTGCAGATCCTAGTCATCACGACAGCCCGCGATGCATTCATAAATGGAGACTTATCTACCGCTGAAGAACTACTTACGCAAGATATTAACACCAATGCCAACAACCATACTTCCTATGCCAATCGTTCATTCGTGATGGCTCGACAACACAACTGGGACCGCGCCCTTCAGGATGCTATGGAGGTGCGTTATAAGCACTGAACGTGGCCCCACTCACGAAAGGCTAACTTAATGGTGACATAGTCCATCAGCATTCAGCCCTCATTGACAGGCTACATATCCAAGGGTATCGCCCTCTGTGGACAAGGCTGCGTCTCGGAAGCGAGGGCAGCATTCGATGTTGCATCAATGTACACGTACCAAGACTCACAAATCCTCCATTTCCTACTCTTGATCAAAGTATGTTACATTTACCTCACGCACTCTCTGCTTCATCGCGGATTTCAGGTCATCGCCCTCTTCAATGCGAATCAATATCATGAGGCAGATCTACTCCTCAAAGAACTCTTTACCGGCTGTCCGAATGCCGATACTCTCGGGTGTTGTGTCGTGCAAGTGAGTATAATCCACACTTGGTCATCAACACTAATCTTTGCAACTCGCACATCAGGCATATCTGCGTGTTCAACTCGGAATCAAGGCCTTGAATGGTGCACGTCACGGAGAAGCCGCTGATCATTTTACCGCAGTTCTCAACTCGAGGGCTCTCTCGTCGAGTTCACCCATTCATTTTATGTACGAGGACTTGGTGGTGGTACGTGAATACGCATCCGAAATCCTTTTCATAACTGAATCCCTTGTTCAGCTCTTCGGCTGGGATCTCAAATCATTGTGGCTCACTGCACACCAGGAACACTGTCATGCACTCCTTCAGGCAGGCAAACTTCAAGATGCCGTTGAATCATACCGATACATGATGGACCATATAGATGAAACAACAAAGGCCAGTTGCGTTGAATGGTCCAACGGCAAGTCTTCAGTGGTGTCACCTGAGGTCATCAATCCTCACCTGCGTTTTCCTCAGCTTTCAAGCAAGAATGCAGCTCTCTCTTTATTACCAACGGAGATACTACCATCGCCACAAGCGACTATGACAGGGCTATTGATTTTTACTCGGCAGCCATCGACTTGAATTCTGGATCTGGTGCTGTCTTTGCAAAGCGCAGCAAGGCAAGGTTGGGAAAAATGCTATGGACGGAAGCACTTCTCGATGCGCAGAAGGTGCGATGGCATTTAGTGGTTTTTAACTCCTACTTATCGCGGTGACACATAGGTCACCGAACTCGACTCTTTATCTTATCTTGGATACAGTTTGAAGCACGCAGCGCTTCATGGTGCACAACGCTACGATGAGGCAATACAGGCATTTGAAATCATGCTCTCAAAATTAGACGATGCTCCTGACATTGAGATACGAAGTAAGCCTCAAATAACTCATGGGTTAACATGCTTTAGCTGTTTCTGCAGAGTTGCGTCCGCAGTATCTAAGTCCATCCAAAGTGGACCGTGCCATTCAAAAAGTCATCGATGCTCAACTCGACAATTCTCCGCTGCGTGTACTCGACACCACCACCGGCCTCTTATGTGATCGAGAGACGCAAATATGCACCTTCAAAACGAGCATACAGTATAAGGAGCTTGTATCATCAACAATCGTGCGTTCAGATATCCAAATGAAGCGTGTTGAAGAAGTGGTGATGTCATACTTCCAATATGTCATGCTATCGCACAGGTGGGAAGGCAAGGAGCCGCTGCTACAAGATATCCAGGGCAGGGAAATCTATGAGTTGCATCCAGTGGGCGGCATCAAGAAGTTGCAGTCCTTCTGCAAAGCTGCTCGTGATTTGGGGTATCGCTGGGCATGGAGCGACACGTGCTGTATTGACAAGAGCATCGATTTTGAGCTCCAAGCATCGATCAAATCCATGTTCTCCTGGTATCACCACTCCGCGCTCACGGTCGTATACCTCTCGGATGTTCCTCCTTTGTCAAAGTTTGGTGCGCTGAGAAAGAGCGCTTGGAACACCCGCGGGTGGACGGTCCAAGAATTCCTCGCTCCCAGAGTCATTCTGTTCTATCAGAAGGATTGGACTCTTTATCTTGACGATCGCACTCCCAACCACAAGAATTCCATAGCGATTATGCAGGAGTTGGAGGATGCGACGGGCATAGATCGACGAACCGTCGTGGCCTTCCGTCCCGGGATGAGAGATGCCCGAGAGAAACTTCAGTGGGCATCGACACGTACTACCACGTTGCAAGAAGACGTTGCATACTCGTTATTCGGCGTCTTTGGCGTCCGCCTGCATGTTGATTATACCGAGAAGAAGCAGAACGCGCTCGGGCGGCTTCTGCAGGAAATCATAGCTCAGTCTGGCGATATTACTGCCCTGGACTGGGTCGGAAAGTCATCAGACTTCAACAGCTGTCTACCAGCCGACATCACTTCATACGAAGTTCCATCATGCAAACTCCCATCTCTAACCGAAGAAGAGATTCATACATCGGTCTCCTCACTGCGAGGTGTTGTGGACATACAGTCAGCTTCGAAATTATATCAGGAACTTGACTCCCTGAGCGCTCCCCGTTTCGCGCATCGCCGGTTGCATCTGCCTTGCATCGTATTTCCAGTCACAGAAGCCAGACGGAGGCCAGGTCATGACCAAGATACATATACGTATGAACTCAAGTCAGACGGGCTTCGTAACCTGGATATTACCACGGAAGACAGGTTCACTCCGTTCTCGCCGGCAAGGCCGCCACCCGTCTGGCAGACGATCTTGTTCGTTCGTCCATGGAGTCACCATCTCCTCGGGCTGCATGACACTGCAGACGATACGCAGAGCGTGGCAAATTGGTCCGCGTCCGAATTTTTGTTGCACGGTTCACTCGCTGCACAAACTGAGCCGATTTACTCGGATTCTGACTCGCGAGCATTGCGGTTGATTGCCAACCTTGGACAGCCGTTTAGTGCATTTTTGCTGGCGCGGCAGCGCGATGGAGAATTCAAGAGGATCGCATCCGATCGTGACATCATCGCACAAGTTAAAGACATGGCTTCTATTAGCTACTTGATGGACATCAGAACACTAGAGGTACTGTAGCTGTATGCATGGATCCTTTCCGCTGTCTCACACCTGTTCCGGGAGAGCATTTATCATCACATCACCTCCCAAGAGATTGATCATCACCAAACGCGGGCCAGGTGTGAGTGAATTTAGAGATGTAGCTCATCATAAGATATGCTCTCGCAATATTAATCCTCATCAATAGGTGGCGCACCGTGAGAAAAACTGCCGATTCCCGACAGGCTGTACCCGCGCCGCGTTGTGACTCTTGTGAGCTAAATTTTGACCAACGGTCACCAACCCAACTTCGACGCAGCTGGATGTTCATTGGAAGTGAACTCGCCATGGAATTTTTGCTGCTAGCGGCCACATGGTCATCGTGGAATCACAAAGGCAGCCATCAGCAATTCGCAAAACATTCGGTTCTAGAATTCACAAACACTGTTGCGCGGTCGCCAGTCAACATTGCGCCGGCCACGATGATGTTACTGATGCCTGCGCACCTCTGCCTCCCTGTGTCCATCCACTTCAGCTTATTGCTTGAGGTTCCCATGATCATTTACACGTGGGTGTGGTTGTATTTCATCCTGAATATTTTCCAGTTCAACTGGGGAAGTATTGATTCACATTTCAATGAGCAAGTGCTTTGTTGATCATGCAGGATCACAATATTCGGTATCCTTTTCTGCGAACAGCTCTGCAGTAATATACCGTGCTGTCGCGAAACTAAGGCAAACGCTACACTGATGTTGCACTGAAGCATACTAGGACAATAACCGTGACCGACTATCTGGAATATTCATTCTCTGATTTTGCCACAAGATGTTCAACGGCTGTTACTCGGAGTCACGGTCCGGCGCGGTGCAAGGACCAAGTAGTCCGTATTCAGGCCACAACTTTGGAGGCCCATAGCCTTAATATAAGGCATAAGAGCTTGAATAGGTTGCCCACGGCATCAGGTAAGTGAGAATTCTCAACCTATGTGTGTTATTGCTCAATTGTTGTCAATTTAAGTGAGTGAGTCGTTGGGGCGTGCCAATCCCGGCCTTGTAATACCCTGGGTAAAATGTCAAGTCAATGTCATGACGTAGCTGCGTAAATGCCATACCATCCCAACTCACATGATTGAAAATAGATTTAAGCAAGGAAAGGTCTTTCTTACGTGCCTGACAATTAAACAAACTCGTGACCATTTTTTTGCATTGACCCTGCCTTTGACGTTTAAGCCACCAAGATGCTCTGCTAGTTGCAGACGCTCCTTCTATAAATGCACGAACTCTGGCACTTACGGAGGCAATCCCAGGTGTGACTGTGTCATCCATCTTCGACCTTCAACTGACGCGCATCTATTGTGGTGGTCTAGTGGCGCCAAGGTCAAGGTTAAGGTCAAGGGTCGCAAATGTGAAGACATGGGTATTTTGAGTGCTTGTATGATATGATTGGCTACCGCAGAGGCTCCACAGGGTTGAAAACGTTGATGTGGGAGACTTGTGTGTATGTACATATTCTACATTGAGTCCTGATAAGCCGAAAATTTACTAATCAGTAGGGTGCCATTCCCGCCACGACCCCATTCTACCCAATTCTCGCTATGGTGAACTGGAACGATCCTGACCTCGAAGCAAAATTAGGGACACTTTCAGCACAGTTGTTGTATGCTATCCTTGGCTTATACGGGTGAGTGCTGCACGTTGTAATGCCTTAAATATGTTACCAATTAGTCCGCTTCTGTGTCTGCAGCTGGGAATATATACGCTCTTCACATGTGGAGATAGCACTACTTCAGAGGCAGCTTCCATTTCGATGGCCTTTGGTGCGCATTCTCGAAGATGTGGTGGACGCTTGCCACTTACGCATGCCTAGCTCTCGTACATTGTCGCTAGATTTAGCTTCTTGATTGCGACAGTTCGGCTGTGAGCCGACATACAAAAAGTGACAAACGTACTAACGACCTTCGTCAGTGCAGTACAATTCAGTCCCTTTCACACAATCGTTGATTGTCAAAGTGAGCGTTTTATAAATTTTAATCTCCCTCCAGGGGGCTCACCTCGATTTTACGCATGAATTTAATCACCATAGTGAGCACGGGAACTGCGAGGTTGCTGGTTTACCACCATATTACCTAGTCTGCGACAAACGTCGCCATCGGTTGCTCCACAACAAATCTGATGATCAGAACGTAAACCTTTAATCATCTCTCACATCATGCTCGATCTAATGGTATATATATGTAGGTGGCTTATCTGGAAAACCAGTTACCTGCTGCGCCTCTTGCTAGTCCTCTTCTCACTGGGTCATTGGACAATGCTCACTCTTTGTGCGTATTTGCTGTCCTCTATTGTTACTTGTCCAACCATTTTCTAGTCCTTGTAACCACTCGTGCATCCGCCAGAAGCGGGATGTGCATGATCAGCTTTGTCAAACCTGCATATACTAGTGCGGTGATCATATATGGTACGCATGTCGCATTTGTGATCGATGGATACATGTTAATCAGTACCTCGTGCGTAGGCATGTTGTATGATTTAGCACTTTTGATCTTTACAGTCATTGGACTTTTGAGGACGCCATCATTTTCTACGCTGTGGAAGATGCTCCTGAAACAAGGGGTGATATATTTCATCCTCAATTTGGCAGCAAACCTTACCCTACTGGTGTGTTCCTGGACCTTTGTAAGGATTCCCATTCTCTACGCGCCGACCATGCTTCTAAAAAGAAGACGCTCGAACCACGCGGTCGACGTCATCCACGTGACTCACTGATGCGAAAAGTTGCACTTTTCGCATCCGAGTTTACGTGGATACATTCCTTTCCTTTCATTTCTCTTACTCTTTCGTTATCTTACCTTGTGCTCAGACTTCACGATTCCCGTTTCTTCACCGATATCTCTCAACTCGCCATATGCTCCCTATTCTTGTTCCGGCCTAGTCAAGTACTCGAAAACGTATATATACTACTCATGTACACTCATACCTACAGTGAAATCCGACAGTGAATTCCCCGCTCCAAGTACGTTCGAAGACGCCTCCGAAAGATCTCTCCTCTAGCCTTGTTTTCACTATCTTCGTGTTATTCGCTGACACGTCTCATTTCTATCTCATTTTGTTCGCAGTTCCCTGCCGAACTCATACTCAGCCTTACACCTTGTTGCTCTACAGGGTTGTTGCAGACCAAACTTTGTAGACCCTGAATCTTCTGAACCTGAATCGTAGGACTGTTTCGCTGCATTGCAAACGCATACTCACTCTGTATCGTCAGCTATCATGGATTCTATTTTCTCAATGCCTGGTATGTGCCCATGATTTGACTGAGTTATGTAACTGACCTTTTGAAAGCGGCATGCATCTGGTCAGAACTCTCGCTACGACTTCCTGTTTGGATGCATGACCTACTTTGATTTGCAGTACGATTGCATCTAGCCAAGTGGTCCTTGCGCTCCTCTGTCCTTCGACCACTTTCGAAAGGTCTTTCTTTTTTTCTTCTTCATTTGTGTGTCACCAGTCTTATTCGTTGGGAATAGCAACAGTGCCCCGTCGACTAAAGTGCCTCCGCTGACGAGTGACTTCACCTTTTCAGGGTAAAATTCTTTGTCTGAGATGCGTGTACCGCGGTTTACTGTGCGTTCAGGTTCCAATCCACGGCTGAAGCCTAAGAGAGTATTTGTTTCGAATCACCCCAATGACTATGTCGTCCTTATGTAGTTTTATGAAAGGATTCATATTTCGGCTTCAACGTATATTGGTGTATCCTAAATTTGTCTATCTTATCTCTATGATGCAAAACTTAGAGTTTTCGATGTACCAGCGCTCACAAGTTTGATGGAGTCTTCATGCATGATTAGATCTTGTGGAAGCATGGAACGCGATCTTGAATATGCAGACCGAACATTCAAGCGAATCCCTTTGAGCCAGTAAAAGAACTTAGCCGTTTATGATGTCTCATATGAAGCCGCGGCAGTGAAAAATGCAGTATGTATACAACCTCCGTGTTGTTTGCCTGAACTAGGGCTCGGTGAGAAATACAGATGTTACTAACATCGGTTATTAACATTAGTTATTAACCGGTTAATAACACCGAGGAAAGTCAGACGCACTTTTAGCCTGTTAATAATTGTTAACAATCATATGTTCAATACAAGAGCCTCCAGCTGCATCAGTCGACTACTAGTCATGTATAATCTAGTATTTAAATCTCGTTTAGAAACACTCTGAGTGACAAATGTCACAATTGTTACAGGTAACAGTCAAGCGTTTAATCACAATATTTGCCCAGCTTTTTTCTTATCTGAAAATATGTCCGAGTCACCCACAACGGAGGAGTATGTCAACACTCTCGACAAGCTTAATATTCTTCTCACCAACGTACGGAAAACATCAGAATAAGGATTATGTGCTGTCAAACTACCGTCCAGTCGTCAAGTTCCGGAACATCGAAGAGAGCGTGCTTCAGGCTGTCCAAACTGGCAGCGCAGATGATGTGTCAGTCACAGACATTGACGGAATAGCAGATTCGGATGATGAAGATGGAGCTGAGGACGAGCTGTTGGAATCGGAGATAGACGGACGCCAGCCTGCTCAAGCTGTTGCCTTCGAGATTCATCCTGACATTGATATCAACTCGAAGGCATTGAAGGATATGGTCTCTACTGACCCAGTTTCCGTAGTTTCCACTGTGGACCTATCATTCGTGTTGTCTCCGCAGGCTGCCACGATGGTGACCGACGACGGAGATGCAGATTGGAATTATTAGACTCACAGACGACCTTTTTAACAATTGTTAACTGCGTTTTTGTTGTTAACAATGTTAATAATGTATTTCTAACACGTTAGTAACACAAATGTTAGGAATTGTTATTAACCTGTGTTAACTATGGCCCTGGAGCGCCCGATGTTACTAACAAATGTTAGAAATCGGCCATGAATTATTCACCGAGCCCTAGCCTGAACGGACTTGCCTCAAACAATGGAAGATATCGACCCTTCACAGGGGTCTTGAGTCTGGAGGATAGAAGGCCAGTCCCATCTATAGAACACCCTCATTTCTATGCAGAAATTTGAGTCGAGAAGAATGCAGTTGTGTCGATGACACGCTGCATATTTTACCGATGTCTAAATACAACTTACATGTATGATATTGTGAACGTGCCACCTGGTCAATAATTGTTGTAGATGAGCTTTGGATGTGATGGGAGCACCAGAAAATATGATTGTAGACGCCTGCATGGCGCAACAGCCTCTTGAGGAACGCCGGGCGTAGCCGGGGTTGTGGTGCTGCAACGATTTTTTTTTTGCATAACCGGCAGCTGACAAGGTCAGCCCCGAGGAGGCACGCGGGGGTTTCAGTTAGTAGACCGTGTGGGACTCTTCTGCAACAAGTTATGTGGAGATACGGAAGCACTGCTATAAGTGACGGCAAGAGACTGCTCCACATCATCCGTTCCCCGGAAGAAATAATATGCTGTGTCGATCTCATTGGACCTGTATCGCTCGAGTCGGATCATAGTACGACACATGATCCCGATTGTTTCAAACTCCCTTTGCCCTCTATTCACGTGACAAGTTGTTACTGCAGTCTTCTTGTTATCCTTTGGAAAGTTGGAACCCCCGGATTGCCCGGTAAGCCCGTTCACTTTATTCACATGTGGATCTTTCTGATTCATATCATCGCGAATTGAAAGTTGACAGAGAGAGCTGACGTTAACATGACAAGTCAACGTTACAAAGAAGCCAACGTTAACAATTATAACGTTGACGCGACTAACCTCTTTCCATGAATTTTAAACTCACCGGACATGAATCAGATCGATCAACATGCTAATAAAATGAACGGAAGAAAAAAATCGCCGAACGCACGCTGCTAAATCCCCACTGTCACGATCACTCTGGTCTCCCCACGCGGTAGAACCTGAGAGTCGTTCCTTCAAATTCAAGTTCATAACTCAGGATGGATGACTACGCAGTTCTCATGGGACGTGAAACTACTTTTGCAGTACGTCCTCTGCACTCGCACAGTGTGACAGTGACCTGTCGGCTTTGTGCTTCATTTGCTCACTCGAAGTCAGTATGTTGAAGGTAGTTCGACTACACTCGTATTCTTATTTCATTCTGCACGACTGAATTCCTCGGACAGCTGCATCCATAGCAGCTTTGGTAAGGAGGAACGAATATGACAAACAACGTCATGACCATTTCCCCCTAGCTTTTTGACTATTGTCTTACTTTCGACTCGGAGGTCAGTATGTTTTGATGGCTATGTGCAAAATTGACTTTATACCAGGTTCGTTGGACGTGGGGGAGAAAATGGGGGATCGTGAGGATAGCCTTTGTGATCTCTCGCTATTTACCGATTACAACTTTTGTTATGTACCTATATTGTAAGTGCCCGGGACAATTTGTCTGTTCTCGCTCCTCACTGATGAGACCCTCGAATAGATCTCCTCGAGTCACCTCGCGGAGAAATTGTGCGTCTAAATTCTTGACTGAGTTTATATCCCTGATATGATATTCTAGCCAAATCCCGGGATGTACATTGCTATAAATGGCAGTTGCGTATACAATAATCCCACTTCAACCGTTTTGGATTCTCAATAATTTCGCTAGCCCTGAGCATCTTTGATGCTGCTGCTGCTGACGGTCAGAATCAACTCAAAGTCAAATCTCTTCCTCCTAGTGACTCCTTTTTAGTTTTGCTCGTGGCTAGGGCACAAGCGTTCTGTCAATGGGGAGTCAGGACCTTAATCGCCATAACATTGCTCAGTACCGTAACCCTGATCTTTCCTCTTAGCTACCTTTTTGTTGCTCAAATATTGCACTTCATTCTAGGCCATGGTAGCCGTTGCGCTAACAATTATATACGTCGTGACGAGTAAACCTGCAGGTTTGTATCTCCCCCCTTCAAATGTCTTCTGCTCACCCCGTATTACAGATGCGGGTGTGTTTGAGGGGGAACAATACGTGAGTATCGTTTATGGATTGTGCATGGTCTATCAGCTTTGTACGTAACATTTCCATGATTTGTCCAGTGGCTAACTTCTGCCAGTATTGATGTCCTTTATACTGCACAAACGCTTCAAATTTTACCAACAGGATGCTACACCGTTTGTTGCTAATGTATATCGGGATGGTGTGATTTATGTGCTATGCATTGCTCGTGAGTCTTGTAGATTCTTGTCAAGAACAATGCCTTAATTTTTTTTCAGTGGCCTCGATGGTGAATTGCATCGGCATTGCTGTGCTTCCCGTGAGCAACTTTCTTCTGGTAATAAGATGAGCCTCTGATCAGATTGTCTAGCAACCATACACTTTTCTTTTCTATAGGTAAATAATATCATGGTATACTCTATATTCAAAGCTGAGTCAGAGGAGCCCGCAGGCAGTTGTGTATAGCGTGATTTCTTCACGCATACTGTTCAATCTACGAGAAACAAGCAAATCGCAGGATGACGTTGCAATCAGCTTGGGGATGGTTTTTGCTCAACCAGTCGGAATCCCATCTACAGTGGATCATCTAGAGCTGGAGGTTGTTGATACTGCATACTCGTCAGGTTTGATTATGGTTGTAGCTCCCCCTTGTTAGATATAGCGTACTGCGTACCATTGTTCGTGTATAGTATCTATCCCGTTACGCTCACTTGATACTTTGACGTTCATCGTTGCTTTCCCTCGGTCTTCTAGAGGGTACGTCCATTCATTCAGAGTTATACCACTCATATTGTGTTGTATATTAACATAGTGTGTCGAGGTATTTTTTCACCCCTGACATACACGACAGTGCAGTGTTTCCAGCCCTCGAAGTCGCTGCTAAGATTACATCAATAGTTCGATTGCTCTAGGCTACGAACAATCAACGCAGTTTTCAAAGTAGATCTCCTTGTAAGTATTTTTTTTCTGAAATAGCTAGCGCTGCAAGTACCGACTTGATCTGAGCAGCAAGGACGCCTCGAAGGCGATCTAAGAATTTTCATGACCGGAAAGGTCGACGTTGCGAATGCAAGTCGTTGTGTGGCTTTATAACTCGACGGCAAGAGACTGCATATACGCGGTTCAGTCGATAGCGAATTGAGCGAACCAGGCACATTGTTAGATGGATTGTCCGAGATCTAACCTAGCGAGATGAAGAAATTGGTTGATCATGATCGACGTTAACTCTACATTCCAATGCAGGGCGTGTAAACTAGAAATACATCTGAGTCCTTGGTCTCTTGGACAACTTAACATTCTTCCACGGTTTCTTCTTTCACTCCCTCTCGAAAACATACATGTACGCCAATTTCTTCAGATCCCTAACGCTCGTTTCATCCGCTCGCACAACCTTCTCGTCGTTGAAAAGCACCCAATCGCTGACAGCACCATCTACATCCATCGCATCGCTTCTCGGCATACGGATGTGTGCGACATAATGGCCGGAATGAACGCTGGGACCTTTATGTGATATGAAGGCTTTCAGCCTGTATCGAGCAGGCAAGCGCGATGAACCAGGTGGTGCTTTTTTGGTTTCTGATGATGAGGTAGCGGGCGAGTTGTCTTCGCCATTGTCATCGGGATGGTTAAATAGCCATTCAACGGCACGTTCTACATTTCCATCCTACAACGTTGTCAGAATAAGAGTCAAAACAAACCAGAACAAACTCACGGTCTCCCTCAACGCCTTCTTTGCTTGCGCATTTGTGAAGCCCATGTCAGCAAGCATCGCTACCTGCTCTGCGGGTGGTTCTGGTGCATTACCACTTCCTGATCCTGCTGTTTGGATGGGTACGTTGATGTCTGAAAAATCTCGTCAACTAAAATTTCGAGTGGATTCATTTCGGCACACCTGGGTCCTCCATGTGCATGATTAACCACTCCATTGCGACTTCAGCCCCAGCGTTGCCAGTTGCAATCAGAGCGTTCTGACAACTGACAGTCGGGAAGCCCATAGCCTCAAGCTGAGACAGTGCTTCGACGTCAACTTCAGGCTGCGAAGGACCTGAAGTGTTAGAACTATCTGGTAACTCCACTTCGCCAGACTGAAGTCCATGCCCGAGGTAGTTATCAAGATGAAGTTCATCATTCTCTGGAAGGATCACAGGTATATCTACGATTCGGGGATGTTAGAATGATATCAGACATCGAGGTTGCAAAAGCTCACCTAGCTTCGTCGGGACCCAATTCACAAGCTGGAACTTCTTTGCATGCAGCACCAAAATGTCAGGGAAAGTGGCAAACTGCATCTGCCTAAGTCCAGCATTAGTCAACCTTTGGGTAGACCGAACGGCATACGCATACCTGACGGCATTCACTTTTCCGCAGCCTCCTTCACACTGGTACTCCAGAGCCTCTTGTCCACTCAGTCCGAGCAATAGGTTCAAGCACTGTTCCAAAGAAACAGAGCGGTACCGCTTCTTTCCAGGACCACTCTCGTCTGGTGCGCCGATAGTTCCCGCTTCTTGTTCTCCCGCTCCCGTATCCGCTTCACCATCAGCGAGTTCGTGAGCGGGTACACCAAGACTAAGGACATCCATCGTGTCTACGCGATATCTGAACCTGTGACAGGACTGGCACTGGAGACGTTGCTCGAGGCCAAAGGCAAACGATTCGGTCGGTTCAAATTGACCTATGCAAACTCAGCGCGAGTGATACTTGAGACAGCCTTTTGGTACCTGATACGCCACGAGTATTTGAGTGGTTGAATCGTCTAAGTACTGTCAACAGGTGACTAAAGAATTCTTCCGCATCCTGCTGGCGCATGGTAGCAAACTCGGCGTGGCCTTTACCAACGAGAGCCTTGAATCCTGCTGGCTTCAGGCCCGCCTGCCAAGGAGTATGTTCAGGTGTTGGGTGTGCGAGAGCGTCAGTCGGGGCTGCGGGCGTACGTCAGATGTCATACACAGATCATAATATGGTGGATTGTCTTTCAACTACCTTGTTCATGATCTGAGTGAGGCTTAGAATATCGTCCGCTGAGTAAACCATCAGCGAGCTTGTACATCTGACATTCCAGGCAATCCGCAGGGAGGGCTTGAGTGCAATTCTCCCAGTGAGCAGCTGCTGTCGGAGAGACATAAGGGGAATCTGTGCCCGAAGGCCCTTTACCATAATAACGAATTTGAAAAAGAGGGAGTGAGAACAGTGTCTGAATAACGGAGGCCATATAGCAACTGTGAGGAGCTATCGTCGTAAAAGTCGTTGCTAAAAAGATGGAAAACATGCCTATTTCCAAGGTTGCTAAGACCTGTAGCACCAGCACCAAAGATCGGTTGAAGTGCCGAACCGTCCTCGGCCGTAAGGGAGAAGTCAAAAAGGAGGTTTTGCTCGATTTGCTAGTTTGAGGGTCAGATTTGAGAGGATAGCATTATTTTTCTCCAATAACGCACAAGCTCAGTCATGCTCTTCTCGGTCTTCTTCTGTGCCGCGACATTAATACCAAAGCCACTGAGGTGGTTTACAAGCTCTGGGTCAACACGGGCGTCATTACATGCGTAGCAGTATACATCTTGGAAATTGGGTCAGATACATATTAAAAGAGCGAGAAATGACGACTGACCAGCACCGCCCTCAGGTGTAATGGTTCCAAGTTTTACGCATACGGGATGCTGGGTCGCGTTAAAATGTGCTAGCGCGTGGCCGTTGCCGCCAGTGCCACCAAATTGAGCACGACCGCATCCAAGAGCACCACAAGTAAGGCAAAGCCAGAGATTTGACGTAAGTTCACAAGAGGCGCAATGCGCTAGACCTGATATTAGAATGAAGATGCATTCTTGATCAGGAGGTTGGATATTACCTTCTTGTGGTATCGATCCACTCTGGAGCTGCTCCAAGCAAAGTGTGTGCTCGCAAGCCGTAATCTCCTCTTCCCAAGCTTTGACTTCCGATTGACGAGCCGATGAGAGCGATAGCATGATACCATCAGTTAGACGCTTTGTCTGTGGCGCCAATATCAATGATGCAAGATCAGACAAGTAGCAGATGAGTACACTTGCGTTTGCAACATCAATCGCTACTTCCTTCCCGTCTTGCATATCACACTTCCAACACTTGAATACAGTGGCATGCTCGTATTTGTCTTCTTCGCGTTCTTCATTAATGGCGAGCTTCTTCATTTTAGCCGGTGGCTCCTCTCCATCAGCCTAGCATGGTTCTAGTGTACGTTCCACATAAATGCGTCGCCACTCACGCGATTCGAAATCTTCTTCTTTGGGGTGCGCTTGACATTCAGAGTGAATGAGTGTCCTGATCGGAGGGCATGGTTACGCGTATGGTGACGATCCGAGTCAAGACATGATCCATTGAAGCACACCAAGCAAACGTCGATGCCCTTAGGGCCATCCTGCACGGGCGTGAACTCCGGAATTGTGGATCAACCTCCTTAATCGACCTACCTGACTATCAAAACATTGCGTGCATTCTTCCCTATGGATTGACTGGCTTAGTTTTGGTTCTCTCAAGCCAGATATTTCGTGAACATGAGGACAAGTTGCAGACATCGACATAGTGGAAATGTCCGTACTCGTTGTGGTCGAATTGAAAGTTCTGACGTTCAGGCAAGAGGAGCGCGATTTGGGACATTGTCACGTGGCCATCATGTAATGAATCCTGTCACATGAGTGACATTGCAAGAAACATTAATTGTCTGTTCACTCCAGTTTACGCTATCTACGGCCAACAAAACGTATCATCGTCACAGCAAGTCCAGCCTGAAGAAACGGTATCTGGGAATGCAGAAGAGTGCAGAGCGTTTATAGGGAAAGTCAAAAATCTGGACCTGGGCTTTAGCAGACAGTCACAGTAGAATTTATGCTCCACATACTGTTCTAATATGCATGGCAGAGTCAAAATCCACTTTGATGATAGAGGGATTATCAGCTTTGGGCTCACCCATCACACTTTCGGTGCGGGAGTCCGCCAAGAAGCAGTAGTGTATCAGAGCACGATGCCACAGATTGGCTGCACAAATATTTTCGGTAAGACCAGGCTTGCATGCGGGAATACACGACTTACTTCGCACAGTACCACGGAATTTATCTTCTCCGACAAGAACGTGGAGGCTCCTGTCCCAGTCTCCAGGACCACCAGGAATGTAGGGCGCCACATGATTTTCCTTGCATACCATTTTAGCCTATTTTCAAGAAAGCCCAAGATGCCCACCTTCAGATAGGTGATCTCCGCATACCCCATGGGCTCGCCGTTCCAGCTCATTATTACAGGCAGAACACCAGGGTCGTTCATTACTTCCGTGATATATGCTCTGTGTTTCTCCAGCGAGCCCCGTTCTCCCCACGCCTTGTTCACTCGCTCTGAATTATGCCAACGATGAAAGGTGTCTAGATGCTCCGAAGTATTCGATCCGCTGCGGAGATCGAAGTACGTGAACTCTAGAGTCTCCCCTATGGATGGACAAAATCGCCTAAATAGCGTTTCTCCTGGTTCAGGCTTTGGTGGACGAAGGGGGTGCCCGGAAATGACAGTGGGTGTACGGGTGAATGACGGGATGAGGGGAAAAGGCGCAACTGAAAATGACGATGGAGGTAGCCAACCGCGATTATGGTATCCTCGTGTTCCCGCACCCTGCCAGAACGTGGCTCTGTTCAAGTATATTTCCTCCTTTGAAGCTGTAGGCGCATGCGCCGTACGCCCGAGGCCGGATCGAAGTAAATA